GGAGGAGGAGGAGGAGGAGGAGGAGGAGGAGGAGGAGGAGGAGGAGGAGGAGGAGGAGGAGGAGGAGGAGGAGGAGGAGGAGGAGGAGGACCTTCTCATCCTCCCTCCTCTCCCGTCCTGCATCTGGTAGCGGTGGCGGAAAGCGTGCCCATCAACCTCTGCCCCGCCGCCGACGGAAGAGCGTGCGCCGCCCTGGGAGCACTGCACAGCAGACGGAGCAGAGTCCGAGGTGCTGACGCAGGCGGCGCCCGCCGACGCGCCGGCGCCGGCAGGGGCGCGGCAGGCGGGCGCCGTGCGCGAGGCGTTCGAGGCCTTCGTCGTGCGCTTCGGGAGGAGCTACGCGGACGACGCGGAGCGCGAGGCTCGGAGGGCGCCGGCCGAGGGCCACGGGCCCCGGCTGGGCCTACCTCTGGGCCCAGGGTCGGTGTGAGCGCCTTCCCGGCATGGCCACGGGGGCGCAGGCACCGGCCCTGGGCTGAGGAGGAGGAGGAGGTGGAGGAGGAGGAAGAGGAGGAGGAGGAGGAGGAGGAGGAGGAGGGGAGGAGGAGGAGGAGGAGGAGGAGGAGGAGGAGGAGGAGGAAAGAGGAGGAGGAGGAGGGAGGAGGAGGAGGAGGAGGAGGAGGAGGAGGAGGAGGAGGAGGGAGGAGGAGGGCGGGCGGTGTGTGGTCAGTCGAGTGACGGCGGGACGACGGGCTCGACTCTGGAAGAGACGTGCGCGCGTGAGCTTCCCGCGCGGGGTCGCGCGTGAGCGCCTTCTCCTCTCCGCGCGGTGTGCCGCGCTGGCGGCCCGCGCGAGCTGCGGCACGAGGTCGCTGTGATGCTGTCGCTCGCAGGACCCGCTCCTCTCCGTCGCTCCGCCGGCGTCCCCCGAGAGGCCCGCTTCGCCGTCTTCGCGGCGAACTACGCGGCGATCGAGGCCGCGCGTCGCCCCGCAGGGGCGCTCCAGGAAGGGGCCTCGCCCTCGCGGGGGTCGGAAGGGATTGACTTCCTCGTCGGCGGTTTTCGGAGCGTGAATTACCTAGCCCGCTTTCGCTTCCAGGCATAACCAAGTCATACCATACGCCTCCTCGTCAAGCGGCCTGAGCAGCGCAGGCCGTAGTTTGGCATCGCTTGGTATCTCTTGGGAGCGAGGGTGGTCAAAAGCGAGGTAGGTTTGTTTGCCCCCTAGGTTTGGCGGCACGGCGGCGGCGGCTGCGGGCGGAAGCAGAGCCGGGGGGGTTTGGCAGGGGCAGGGGCACGCAGAGGCCCACCTGCCGCTGCTCGCTCTTCCTCGGGCCTCTGGCCTCTGGCCCCGCATGGTGCCGGCACCGGCGCCGCCCACACATCGGGGGTGGACAGACCTCCTACCCTGACATGTCGATGAGTGAATTGTCCGTTTTCGGTTCTCGAGAGGGCGCCGCGGCCGTCATTTGCCAGGCTTGCGTCCGCCAGGTTTTGGCCCGAGGTCGTTTTCACTAAACCACGTTTTACTAAAGGGAGGTCTGTCCATCCCCGAACACACACGGTGGTTCTAGAGCCCCACGCGTCGGGGGTTGCCGAAGGTGCCCCTGGCCCAAGGTGCCCCCAGCTTCTCGCTCCACGCTGGAGCCCCTCGGGTCCTCTTGGCCTCGAGGGGGGTGCTCTGGCGGCCGCGGGGGCCTCCTCGGAAATCCTGGGGGCACCTCGGGCCAGGGGCACTTCTAGCAACACCCGAACGCGAGACCTCCTGTGCCGGATGCTCATCGGGGGTAGTGCGCGTCGTCGGAAGTAGTAAAGCGAGGGCTCCGCCGGCGGATGGCGGGTGGAAGGCGGCGGAAGCAAAGCTTAGGTGTCAGCATTTTGCATTCTGGGCGGAACTCCCTCTCCAGGCCCAGGGGGAGGGGGTAGGGGGAGGGGTAAACCCCTCCCCGAAGGGGAAGAAGGGGGGTTGAGGACAGAGGGGCTCTCTAAACCACTCACGCCCTAAAGGGCTGGTGGGACTAATCCAAGAGCGCTCTTGGCCAGGCCAATCCCAGGCCCAGAGCCTGCGTGCACGGGCGCTGGCGGAAGCACCGGTCGGACTCCACCGTGTCGGGAGGGCGCGCGGGCGGGCCTCTGGGGGGGCGCGCCTGCGTCGCCAGAGCTCTGGGGCCCTTGTAGGGGATGGCGCACATCTCGTGGCCCCCCCCTTCGCCTCTCCGAGCGCCGCCGAAGGCGAAGCTCCATCGCTGATCCCCGCGCGCATGCGTGGCCTGCTGGCGAAGCTAGGAGGGCGCACGCCCCGGTCCTGGGCCCCGGGCGGGCCGGTGGCCAGGGTCGGCGCGGGGGCGCAGCGCGCGGGCAGTCGCCGGCCCCCCCCCCCGCGAGGCCCACAACGCCGACGCGGAGCGCTCCTACGAGCTCGGCGTGAACAGCTTCGCGGACCTGGCGCCGGAGGACGCCCCCCCCCCTCCTCTTGGGCGTTGCGTAATGGAGGGGTCATGCATGGGGGGATGTCGCGGGTGGTCCGAAAAGGTACCTAAACGGTACCTAAACGAGCCCCCTGGGGCTCCAGAGGGGCCCGAAAGGGGCACGAAAGGGGACCGTTTCTGACCCCCCCATTTATGACCCCCCCACTAAGCCACGCCCAATCCTCCCGCCGCCATCCTCCTCGCGGTCGCTCCCAGCGCCTCGTGGCCTCGGGGCAGGCAGCGGCGTCTCGCGGGCTCTCGCCCCCCGGTGGGCCGAGGTCGCCCCCCCGGGGGCGCGGAGGGCAGGTGCGCCTCGTCTCCAGCGCGGAGGGGCGGCTCGAGGCTCGAGGGCGCGGAGGCAGCGGCGCGCCGCGCACGGCGGGGCGCGGTACACGAAGTCGGGCGGCCCAGTTTACGAGATCGCCACCGTCGTCCCTCCCTCCGACGAGGAGAAGCAGGAGCGGCGGCGGCGAAGAGCGGCGGTGCTGGCGCTGCGATCGGCCTCCCGAGGGCCATGTCGTTATTCTCGCCGCCGCCGCCGCCGCCGTCGTCGTCGTCGCCGCCGTCGTCGTCGTCGTCGTCGTCGTCGTCGTCGTCGTCGTCGTCGTCGTCGTCGTCGTCGTCCTTGCCGTCGTCATCGTCGTCGTCGCGCATAAACTCTCAACATGATCGACCCACGAACCTGGAAAAGGAATATAGAAATGTGAGGCATGGCAACGTTTTCAAGACTTTGGTTGGGCGACGGGCAATTTGAGTGTATCGATCTTGATGTACCGTGCCAAGGGCTGTGCTTTGCTGCGCCGTGCTGAATTGAGATGTGCCATGCCGCGATTGTGCTCTATAGCGTTGTGGATCGAGTCCTCCTTTGCATCCGAGTCCTGACCGAATTGATCTGGATCTTAAGCTCGAGCTGCCTGAGCACATAGTAGGTGCCCCAGAGCTAGTTCAGGTGGAAACGTGCGGGCCGTTCAATCGACTCGCCCTCAAAATCCGACTCAGCTCTCAACAAGAACGACACGGCACAGGGCACAGACTCACGGACGCGCCACATGATGTGCCAGGAGCGAAATAGGGGATGCGCCAGGGGGCGTGTCAGCTTACGTATCAGGGGACGGGCCCTAGACGTGTCAGGGATTTGCCACGGGATGTGCCAAGGCGCGTGCCATGGGGCGGCCAGAGGACGTCATGCAAAGGGACGTTGCAAGGGCGCGCCACGGAACGGGCAGGGGAAGCGCCTGGGCACGAGCCGGGAAGCGCGACAGAGGACGAGCCAGGGAACGTACCACGCCGAGCGGCGTGCTAGCGGACGTGTCAGGGCGCGTCACGCCAGAACGTCGCAAGGGACGCTCCAGTGGACGCGCCAGCGCGCCAGGGGACGCCCCACGGATGGGCGGGGTTGGACTGCACTGCGATGCGCTCTATTGCGACAAGCGTTTCGCTCGAGACATCCTCAAGACATCCTCGTGATAGACATCCGCCTGGGCGACCTGGGCAGGTGCAAACACGCGTCTCGCCCGTGATCTCCTCAACACATCCTCATGTTAGACATCCGCCTGGGCGACCTGGACACGTGAAACCAAGCGTCTCGCTCGAGACATCCTCAACACCATGCTAGACATTTGCATGGGCAACTGGTACGCGTGAAAAGAAGCGTTTCGCTCAAGACCTCTTGCCCACATCCTCATGATAGACATCCGCCCTGGCGACCTGAACACGTGAACACAAGCGTTTCGCTCAACACATCCTCAGCACATCCTCGTGCTGGACATCCGCCTGGGCCACCTGGACATGTGAAAACACGCGTCTCGCTTGAGACATCTTCAGCACATCTTCATGTTAGACATCCGCCTGGGCGACCTGGGCACGTAAATCCAATCGTCTCGGTCGAGACGTTCTCGACACCTCTTCATGCTAGACATTTGCCTGGGCGACCTGGACAAGTGAAAGCAAGCGTCTCGCTCGAGGCATCCTCAGCACATCTTCATGTCAGACATTGGCCTGGGCGACCTTGGGCAAGTGAACGCAAGCGTTTCGCTCGAGATGTTTTTAACGAATCATCATGCTAGACATCCCCATGGGCGACCTGGACAGGTGAAACCACGCGCCTCGCTCGAGATGCCCTCAACAAATCCTCACGCTCGACGTCTGCCTGGGCAACCTGGACGTGTGAAAACAAGCGTCTCGCTCGAGACTGCCTGAACAACTCCTCATGCTAGACATCTGCCTGGGCAACCTGGACGCGTGAAACCAAGCGTCTCGCTCGAGACATCCTCAAGACCTGGGCACGTGAAAACAAGCATTTCACCTGAGACATCCTTTGAATTCTAGCCTCCAGGAGTAGAACAATGTATAACACAAAACAAGCGTTTCGCTGGAGACATCCTCAACACATTCTGCAACACAAGCGTTTCGCTTGAGACATCCGCAGCAACCGACATTATACACTTTCCATATGTTCAATTGGTCGGAATTTCAAACACCAGCGTTTCGCTAGGGCCACCCTCAATGTTTTAATTCGCTGGCCTTACGCGACCTTGTTATGCATCGCAGCATATATTCGCCGGCCTTGCGCAAGTCGAGGCCGAGGGTTTA